GTCCTCCTCGTCCTCCTCGTCCTCCTCGTCCTCCTCGTCCTCCTCGTCCTCCTCCGCCTTCTCCTCGTCCTCCTCCGCCTTCTCCTCGTCCTCCTCCTGATCCTCGTCCTCCTCCTCCTCCTCCTCCTCCTCCTCGTCCTCCTTCTCCTCCTCTCCTCCTCCTCCTCCTTCTCCTCCTCTTCGTCCCTCCATTCCTCCCTCCTTTCCGCCCTCCTTCCCTCCCTCCCTCCCTCCCTCCTCCTCGTCCTCCTCCTCCTCCTCCTCCTCCGTCCCCCCCCCCCGCCCTCGTCCTCCTCCAGCCAATATGATTATCAGTATAAACAACTCCGCCCTGTCGCACTCCGCCCTTCCCTGTTTCCCCCTCTTCCAGACACCCGACGAAATCATTGTTCAATGCGCGGCCCCAAGAAGTCCCAACCCCTTCCCCCAGGCGAATTCCGCAAACAGCGTTGGCACTTATGGTCTCTTGCTCGTTTCCTAAGGAACTGGGTTTGTTTGTCGGGTTCACCGCCTGGTTGCCGCCACAGCCGCCCAGTCGCCGCCCCGTCGCAGCCTCCTCGCCGCTCGTCGTCAGGGTTTCTTCGTCGGATCCGCCGCCTTGTTGCCGCCGTCGCCGTCGCCGCCCCGTCGCCGCCCGTCGTGTGGGCTCTGTTGTCGGATCCGCCGCCTTGTTGACGGCGTCGCCGCCCCATCGCCGCCTCTTCGCACAGATTGCGCCATATAGGTCCAACACATATACTGGACGACATAGACTGGCACAACGTTGAGTCTCCTTTCTTTAAACATAAGCTCCACCCACCCCCGGGAGTATCGGCTCATCTCTTCGTATTGCAATGTACATATGTTTCAGCCCCATCGTCCATCCTAAATTCGAACGCGCACCATCCCAGGGGCAGCGATATCCGCCCCCCCCCGCCATCCTCTGCAACAAATACTATGCGCGCACACTCGCTTTTGAAAAGTCATTGCCACAAACGGGACGAAGTGCGCACGCGCGCGTCGTCGCGCGCGCATGCTGAAATCCTTCAAAAACAGGTTGGTTGCGTACGGATGTCAAAATCGAGTGCCCACGAAACCCGTACATTTCGTAACACGGAATTTCAAAACAAGTTTGCGCGCGGGCTCTTGCGAATGCTTAGGAAACCATTGGTGTTTCATGATTATCAAAAGAATATGGCTTCGCGCGCGAATGTCGAAATCGTTCGAACGCCCTTGCGTGCGTGCCGTCGCGAGAACTGTTGTGCAAAAGTGCGCGCGCGTCGTCGCGCGCGCATGCCGGAATCCGTTAAAAAATCTTGGTTTCGTAGGGATTCCAAGATCGAGCGTCCAATACACACATAAACACACAGGGTTTCGAACCATCAGTTTTCAAAAAAAGCGCGCTATTGCGAATTCTTACGAAACCATTGGTTTTTCAACATGTTCATGGAGTTATGCCAATCGGGCCTCTGGCGCCGCATGCCGAAATCATTCGCACGCCCTTCCGCGCGCTGGGGGGGGGCACGATCCGTGCAAAATAATTCCATGCTGGCCACTCTCCTGCGTCGGCCGCGCGCGCATGTCGAACTCCTTCCAAAACCTTCATCACGGACGCAAAGACGCTGTCATCGTCGTCGGCGTGATCAACATCGGCGCCCGCACTGGCCGCGCTGTCGTCATTGTCAACGTCGTCACCAGCATTGCTACTATCATCATCGTGTCTACCGTTGTCGACGTTGCCATGATACCGCGCCCGCCCAATTCGCCGATTCGCAGTGAAGTGCCCGCTGGGATGCGCCCCGCGCGGTCAGCGCCCCCGCGGCCGCGTCGGTCGCGACAAACTAGCTGGCCGCTGTGCGCGTGTGCTTGGGTTCGCGCGCCGCAGAGATGTACCAGCCATCGCCAAGCACTCTTCTCAATCGCCACCGCATGGGTTTTGCAAACCAAATTGCGCGTGGGTGGGTGGGATGTTTGCAAGAGCATGGAATAAGTCAATTCGTTTGCATAAAACCAAATGCACCACATAGGTTGCCCCACATGGATTGCACAACATGTATTGCGCAACATGTAGATTGCTAGACACACACACAGTGCTTGGGGTCCACGCTGACTGACATTTCTCATCCCGGATCCATTTCTGATGGTCCCAGAGCCCGAAAGCGGGCCCCAAGGGCCGAAATCAGGGGAAACAGCCCGGACCGTGAAGATCAGATGGGCGATTCCGGAAACCCTGAACCCAAAAACGTTTTCATCTCTTGGGGGCGCATTTTTACTTCCGCCACCTTCCGCCAGCCTTCCGCCGGCTTCCGCTGGCAGAGGCGGCCTCGTTTTACCTCCGCCGACCTTCCGCCGCCCTTCCGCCGCCTTCTGCCGCGGAAGAGATGAGATGACAACTCCGTCGGTCCCCGGAAGCAAGGCCCTTGTTGGAACGCCCCATAACATCGGAGACGCTGGTCTCGTCTGGCCCGCTCCTCCGGCTGCACCCGCACTGCTGGCCGTCGGGGAGGGTGAGCCACAGGTCCTCGGTGGCGTTTCTGCCGCCTCTCTCTTGACCAACTCCTCCTCCTCCTCCTCCTCCTCTTCTTCCTCCTCCTCCTCCTCCTCCTCCTCCTCCTCTCCTCGTCCTCCCTCCTCCTCCTCCTCCTCCTCCTCCTCCCTCCTCACTCCTCTCTCCTCCTCCTCCTCCTCCTCCTCTCCTCCCCTCCCTCCCCCTCCTCAACCTCAACCTCCTCCTCCTGCTCCTCCTCCTCCTCCTCCTCCTCCTCCTCCTCCTCCATCCTGCTCCGTCGCAGCATCCACACTCGCCTCGATGCTGACCCTGTCAGCTCGCGCGCGCGTGCCCTCTGCACCACGGGCCGAGGGGGAGAACAGAAAAAAACAAAAAACATCGCGAAGCAGAGCCACGGCCCCGACCGAGAGAGGGGGGGGCGAACGCCGCAGCTGCCCTGCGCAGCGCCGTGCAGCCGAAGCGCGGGCCGAGAGCCCGAGCCCCGTCGCCGAAGAGGCCGAAGGCACAACTCGGGACGCCGCAGACGAGGCACACCGCAGGGCGGTGGGCCAGAAGGCGAAGCTCAGCAGGCCAGCCCCTCCGGAGCCACGGTGGGACTCCCGACCCTGGCGGCAACCCTTCCGCCCGTGCGAGAACGGCGCCCGTGCTCCGCACCGTGCGCGGACTCCCTTCCAGCCTCGCTCCGACGCGGGGCGGTGCACAGCTGTTCGGCCCCCAGGGCCAGACAACCGCGCACCGTGCCACTTCGTGGGTCGAGGACCGACGGCGCCTCGGCACGGTGCACCCAATCGCGGATCCTATGCTGGGCCGATTTTACACTACTACTATCATGTGTAATGGCGGGAGGAGGTGGAGGAGGAGGGAGGAGGAGGAGGAGGAGGAGGAGGAGGAGCAGGAGGAGGAAGAGGAGGAGGAGGAGAAGGAGGAGGAGGAGGAGGAGAAGAAGAAAGAGGAGGAGGAGGAGGAAAACGAGAAAGAGGAGGAGGAGGAGGAGGAGGAGGAGGAGGAGGAGGAGGACGAGGAAGAGGAAGAGGAGGAGGAGGAGCAGAAGGAGGAGGAGGAGGAGGAGGAGGAGCGCACTGGCCACTGCGAGGAGGGCGGACAAGAGCACGAACGAAAAAACGACGCCCGTCCAGGGGCAAGAGAAAGAGGGCACTGGAGATAAGACCGCATCCCCTCAAGGGGGCTTTGAATGCACCTGGCGCTGGACCCTGTGTGCGAGGAGAGGGAGGAAAGCTACTCACACTTCTACAGCCATCTCGGCACAAACGTCTTGACAGGAGAAAACAGGTCGTAAGTCACACGTCTTGACTGGAACAAGCTGGTCTTAACTTAAGTCACACTTTGGAGCCTCCCCGCATAACATCCACAAATCAAGATCCAAGATGCCCAAACTGCCCGGCGGCGCTCGCTGGGAAAGGCGCGCACAATCTGCTGTACGAGCGTTCGCGCGTGCGCAGGGGCACCATGAATGGGCGCTCGCACGTGCCGTGTGGCATGGTACACTTCACACGAAACACCAGGTCGAGATACACAACCGCGGACAACATGTCCGCAGGTGGCTGTCCAACTTGCAGCGCGGCGATTTTCTCAGCACTGCCACTGAGCGTGAATCAATTAGATAGGTACGGTGGTAAAATGAAACGCTGACCAAACGCAGGACAGTCCAACATGCATTCAAGACTATCGGACCCTGGCAGCCCACATGCGCGACACGCTTTGGTGCACCCTCGGTAGCGCGCGGAGGTGGCCCAAGCATTGCAAAGGGTCTTGAGACAAAAGACAAGCACACACGACGGGGGAAGGAGAGGAGCGAGACGGGGGAACACAAAGCGGACACGTGAGCCCTGCTCATGCGTCAGATCTGGATGATACCGCTGCACACGACGTACAAGAACCTCCGTCGCACTCTCGCTGCGGTCTGTGTTGCGCCGGAGAAACAAATCATCTGACTCTGCAGCTGGGCGCTTTCACGCGGAATCCCAGGAATGCCAATGAGATCTTTCCATGTGCCCCACAGCGCCCAAGAAGTCGACGATCGCACGCACTCGCCCTCTGCGCTGTGCTGCGAGAACAGATCAACCGACAACTGGAAGGCGTGACTTCTCTGAGCGACCCGAAACATGACGGCCTTGCGCGCGTGTTCGAGGCAGCGGGGCTGGACGGGGAATGCCAACGTCTGGAGGTCAAAGAGTACTCTGGGTTTCTTAATGAGCGTGGGGGGTTACCCCCCCGACGGGGGTCAACCTCGCCTCGTCAACGCGCCGCGACGGGGGTCGGAGCGCCTTCGGCGCGCGGTGGCTGCCCACGACGGGGGTCGATGCGGGGCTGTCGGCGGGGGTGACGCCCCCCGACGCTTATTAAGAAACTCGGAGAAGAGCAGGAGGCATCGAGTTCCTGGGCGCACGGCGTATGCCCATGAAGACTGCCCGTTCGGCACGCAGGCCTGTTGGGAGCATCCGGCAGCAACTGTCAGGCAAACGACAGGCAAGAGAAGGCGATCATGTTGTACACGGCCACCACCTTGTTGAAGCCTACGTTGAGCGCAGTCGCTTCTTTTCCGCGGGTGCTGGATTTCAGACGAGGACCTGCCCAAGATGCCTCGCGGCTCCCAGGGCCAAGCATGATTTCCAAATACTTGCCGTATTGAGCGACTCGGAAAGGGAAATCGTCGACGCCAAGTGTAGTAAGATCCTGGCGCATGGTCTCCTCCGAAAACCTGCCAACAAGGACAACGACTATGTTCCCATGTGTAGGTGTAGCCATACTGCACGGCCTGCAAGTCCCCACATCCCAAGGGAGGTGGCAAGCAGCATGGCAATCTGACAACTAGCGCCTCCGACGTCATCTGCAGAAGCACCGATGCAGTGGAACCAACAGGAAACCAAGTTGGATAAATTTGCCGTAATTTTCCAGGGCCGCCAGGCGACGACAGTCCATCTTCAAGGCGCGCGTGCTGGGAAAGTCTGGATACCAACATTCTGAGGATGGGGTCAAAAACAAGGACGAATAAGCTGCCAGGCATAGGACAAAATTGCAGAAAGCCCCGCAAGCACCATAATCCGACACCAGAGCAACCTCAGAATCGAACGTCAATCCGAACGTGGCTATAGGGGGCCTCGATCGCGTGAGTCATCCACCGCGGCATCCCCATGCGCGACAATATCCAGGACATAGCATAGTGGATGACCGACGGAGACGCCGCGCTTTGATGTCATAGAACACCTTGGGCGTGCCGCGCAAGCCAGTGGGGTGCCATGTACTCGAGATTGATAATGTTGTCTAACATGCTCTGGTTTCAGATGAAACATTTTTCTCGTCGTTCAGGCAGACAATCTGGCAGATGGGGGAAACAGGCTCGTTCAGGTCATGCGCCACCATCTTTTAGCACGCGGTCGGAAGTGTCAGCGGGCGAGTGCTTTCGGGTGCATGGGTCACGAAACCATCAGTTGGGCCAACGGCTCCTATGGCCCAAAAAACGGCGTGTGCCCAATTGAAGTTAGCTCCGACACGTCCCGTGGCAATCACAGTGCAGCACACGCGGAACACCACCGCACGAACTTCAGGGCCAGCATGCGCCCAGGCCAAGTACGGCACGCCGTCGGGCCCCGGGCCAGAAGGTTCAGCTTGAAATGAAGGGCGCACGAATTCAGCTTCCTCCGTGTCCCATATCTTATGGGACACGGAAGAAGACCAGGAGGAGGAGGAAGCAGGGGGTGAGAGCGAGGAGACACAGTCGGACAATGAGAGACGGACACACCCGGAGCAACCCCCAGTCTGGGGCCGCCCCAGTCTGAACAGCACCTTTTTCAGATATGCTGTTCTGCGGGCAGTGCTGGATAAACGAGGCCACGTCTTCCAGAGCTTCACGGGCCGGTTCGCCGCGCGCATGGACAGCGCCCCATTGATCCCCGTAAGGGCTTGGCCAGCTGCTCGGGCATCGGGGATGGGGCGGCCAGGCGGGTCGTCGATGCGAGTCAGCCCCAATCGACGCAATCCAGGGCTCCACGCCGAACGATACTTGTATTACTTGCCTTTGCGGGACTTTTTTTCCGTCCTGGCGCATCTTGCTCTACCCGTCAAGGTCGCTGCTATGTTTGTCAATTGCTTCGCGCTGCAGTTGCCGACTCCGATCGTTCAACGAGCAAGTAGAACAGTCAAAGAACGGGCGTAGCTCAGCTTGGGCAACGACGGTGCGACGACGCGACGGAGGAGCCGACGATAAAGAAGCACGCGATGCAACCATTGCCCATGCAACTCTCTCTTCTACAGGAGAAGAGGAGGCGGAAGAGGAGGACGACGAGGAGAAGGAGGAAGAGGTGGACCTACCCATCCCCGTCCTACCTATCGTAGCAGCGGTGGAAAATTAGCCCATCAAGGCCGAAGCAACGGCCCAAAAACGATGCCGCAGAGCACCAGAAGAGAGAGAAGGGAAGAGGGGGGAGGAGGAGACGGGAGGAGGAGGAGGAGGATGAGGAAGAGGAGGACGACGACGACAACGAGGAGGAGGAGGAGTTTCAGGGGAGGCGCAGCTTCGACGAGCAGCGGGGGGCCCGTGTGGGGTACTCCAGCCTCGCCGTGAAAGAGGAGCACAAGTAATATATCTTCAGACTCCCACCAAGGCCAATAGCAGAGCATGTTAAATATGTTTCGAAAGACTCCCACCACTGCTAGACGGCGAAAATGTTTGAAACCAATCAGAGACCCCACGACTGCCAGCAGCAGAGCATGTTTGAACTATATCAAATACAGTCGGACACCAGTGCTAGACGGAGAACACGTTAGAAATAATTCAGAGGCCCACCAATGCCAGAAGCGAAACATGTTCGAAATACTCAGGAAGACAGCCACTAAAATCAGACAGAGAACATGTTTGACATAAACAAGAGACCCCACCGACGCCAGTCGATGAACTGGTTAGAAATACATCAGAGACTCCCACCAATACCAGTACGGGAAAATGATTGGAACATATCACCCTCAAGACTCCCACCACTGCCGGAGCCAAACAC